TTAATAGACCTCTCTGCATTGAATCATATCTGTTATTAATATCTGTCTCTTGATGGAGTTTTTCATTCACACTGTCGCCATGGTGCTTGCTCATATGGGGTTATATGATTGTTGTTTTGGGTTTTTCTTTCCATTTTCTTTGTCTTACTGTATAAAATTGAACTGAACTGAACAGTTTAGTGTGAGACAGCATCATACAATGGAAGAAAGTTGCATGCCGGTAGTGTTCATTGCAAAGCAAGAGAATTGTAGATGTGATGCTCAGGAGTGCCTCCACCTGCTGCTCAAGTCTGGTATGAATGATAGTCGGCATTATTTTGGTCAACAGTGAGATTACAAATATTTGACGTGACTCATCATAGTTTGATTTGATTTTGATATACCTTTATTAGTCCCACAAGGGAAATTTCATAAGGCTGCCGACCTATTCCACGCAATGGCGGCGCCATCTTACCCTCCGACCATACATACATTACACAAAACATCACATGGGGAAGACAGGTCAGAGAGGTATAACAATGGAAAATGCACCACATGAGGAAAGATAAGGAGAAAAAAATAACTCCCCCCAGACTGAGCTCCAACAGGGAGATCAGTTTGAGAACAGAAAAAAACACCTCTGCACATAGCACATGAAAAAACTTTTAATACACCAAAGAAACACATGACAAGCAACAGGGGTGGGTAAAGGGTGAGAGACAGCCAGTGTAGACTGTACATCCGGGCCTGCAGTCTGTGCGCTGGTCTCCTTGATCCGCTGTCAGCATCGGAAGGGAATAAGCGTCGAAGGCGTTTGGAAAGGAAGGGGGGGATGAGTGTGTGCATATCAGTGTATATGTATGTGTGTCCAGAGTTCAGCTGAGACAGTGTCTTTCGCCCTGCCAGGCTAAGTAAACAGTCTTCCAGCCAACCCAGGTGGCCTTGCATGGAATGGGGGGGACAGACTAAACACAGTCGTTATCAGGGTGTTGTTCAACTCCAGCCTTGACACCGCAGCTGGCGGCAAAAGGGGGTCTCCGCATGAAGTGATGGTGGTTTTTACTTTAGTGCGAACAGCTCATATGAATTTCAAAGCAGTTCTACAGTCCAACACTGGTCTCTCAATCTCCCGTTGGAGAGCCGTGAGCTTCACCATACTTGCGTTCTGTGATGTTGTCATTCTTGTGCTCAAGGAGCCGATTCTGAGAACTCACGGCAGTGCGCCTCCCCGAGGTGTGATCCAATTTACGCACAGAGATGTTATTCCGAGCTAGCCCTTCCGAGATGTATCCAGTCTGCAGTCAGAGATCTTATCCTGAGTATTCTGAGTATGAATGTGAGAGTGAATGAATAGTGGTATTGTAAAGCGCTTTGGGTGCCTTGAAAAGCGCTATATAAATCCAATCCATTTATTCACAGCAGCCGTAGCCTCTCCAAGATCTTATTCGTGCTGCACTCAATGAGCCCATTTTGAGAAACTCGCGCCTCTCCCATCATTCCAATCCCAGCGGGCAGCCTTGTGGGGGTTTGAACAGCCGGTTCCGATCCCTGTTACCATGGTTCCGAATAGGTAGATATCTTCAGCAGGCAGACTCACCCAAGCCCAGACTTCTCGTTAAGGGGTGTCAATTGCATTCAGAGACCAGGTTTTAGAGAACAGACTGTGAGAGACTGTTCCAGGGAAAAGTAATACAAAAAACACAAGACTAGACAAGGACATAAGAGGCTAAGCAGGGAAGCTACGGGAGAGGAGGAGAGGAGAAAAGTGCAACCGCCTTCGTCAAGAGCAAGAGCAGAGAGATAATAAATACACTGTTTGTTCAAACTTTAAAAAAGAACAGGAGAAGGAAAAAAATCTTTTTTTCAATTAAGTTGATATTTTTGAACTTCAATGTTATTTTAACTGCAGAAGTAAATGAAAGAGAAATGAATTAAACACGCCAAAGCCCAGAGGGGAATCAATGTGGACTTTTATGAAGGGGCAAAGGTAAAGAAAAGGTATGTGCTGAAAGGCAAAAGCAGAATATTATTTTTTCTCAATTATCTTGTTTTAATAATTGTTGGCAGGGAAAAAAGGAATTCAAATTAACTTTAGAGCCCAGACAAAGAGCTGCTATTTTCTTCAGGTATGAATACAGACAGGCTTAGGGCAGAAAAAGTTTGAAAACCACTCTTTTTTACACAACGAACTTTCATATCCTCGCTGCTTTATGGTGTTTTAGAATAGTCAGTTGTATTTGTTGATGTTGGGGAGTTTAGTGTGGTCTCACACGCATAGCACACAGAGTCAATGAATGTTACAGCAGCAGTTTTTTTTTTTACCTTGTCACACATAACAAAAGAAAGGTTATTACAATGAAATTAAACTACATTTTGTGTGTACATACTGAGACTTTGCGATATCTACGTAACATGGATAGTTGTTTTTATTGCTGCATCCATTATTATATATAATAATAAGACAAACAGAAAAACACAAGCAGTTAAACTTCAGTTTGTTCAGTCAGGAAGCAGACACTTTTGTGAATGAATATTAAACCTGCTTTGGTGTAAATAAAAGTAAGAATGCACTGCAAACGAGAGAATGGTTTAGGATGTGATGGCCACAGATCACTGCTCTGTCTTTATCCCTCTTGACTGATTTTTCATTACTTTGTGTTACTGTGTCTGTTACTGGAGCTGGATGGAACAGGGCCAGAACTCTACAACAGTGGGCTACTCACGCATGTCTCCGATTTAATCTGGCTCCATGAGGGTCCAATATCCTCATTTAAACATCATGTGCCACATCCAGCCCACTTTGACATAAGATGGACCAGATCAGTGAAATTCCCTTGTCTTTCAGCCTGATGTCTGCCACTCCTGCTCTTAGTGGGACCTCACTGTTTATCTGACCCTACCCAGAGATCACCAGGACTATTGGTGCCCCGTTATCTTCACAGAGGAGAGCAGGTTTATACTGGGCGCATGTGACAGATGTGAGCCATGGCATCCTGCCTCCAACATCATGCAGCACGACCAGTTTAGCAGTGAGTCAGTAATGGTCTGACTTTGGTTTTTCTTCTCATCTTCAAGTAGCACCAATGTATGCAAGATTTAAGCGTCTAAGCAGTGTATATATTTATATACTGTGACCTGGAGTGCCTGAAGAGAGATGAAGGAAGCCAGAGAGAAAGGGGAAGAGACTGAGGATGTGCAGAGATCTCAGGCTCCCCGTGGAGCAGCGAAACTGTTAAAAAATGGATTCGGTGCAATTAAGGCTGATTAAAAGCGTCCAGTCGCCGGGGCGCTCCCAGCTTTGCTCTACGCTTTTTAAAAACAACATCTTGTTTTCAAAAGGCAAAAAGAAAACACTTAATTGTGTCAGAGTTCTGTGCTGGTCCGAGCGTCAAACCACCGGGACACAAACCTGCTTCCTGAAGTCAATTAAGAAAAACACCTGAATCGTATTTCAGCCTCTTGGTGCTTTAAAAATCACCTCTTCTTCTTCTCCTCATCCTCACACTCATGTCCAGACGTCTTCCGAGTTAAAGCTGCTTTTAAGCTCCAACCACAAGAGACACATTCAGAGAGAAACTCGAGCTCTATTATATTTTCGTACTATCCTCAACTAGTAATCACTTCACCTGAGAGCAGCGGTATGAAAAGAAAATGAGGTCATGGGTGTTTCCGGCCTTGAATTCAGGAGGAAGACTGTGGTTTTTGTCCTGTTCGTGGTCATCAGGTGAGCTCCTTGTCCTCTCAAAGGTATTTCAAGGTGTGTGGGAGCTTGGCCATGGGAGTAGGCTGCGTTCCTCTGGATGTCCTGTGGTGCCTCAGGAGTTTGAGGTATCTAGTCTGTGCCTGAGCTGAGTATGAAGGGAAAGGTGTTGATTTACCGGTCGATCCACATTCCTACCCTCACCTAAGCCCACGAGCTCTGGTGGAGACTAAAAACAACGTGAAGGTAGAGACAAGCAGCAGACACGAGCTTCATTCAAAGGGTGGCAAGGCTCAGACTTTGAGGCAGGTTCGAGCTCAGAGTAGAGCTGCTACTCTTTAGCTTACAAAAAGGAGCCAGCTGAGGTTATTTTGGGCATTTGATGAGACGTCCCAGGCATGTCCTCCCAGAAGAAGACCCAAGACAAAGGAATCATGTCTCTCAGCTGGCTTAAGATTGCATCAGGTTCCCAAGTCAGTTGCTGAGAAAAGGTAGCTAGTGAGAGGGAGGTCTGGGTTTAACTTGCTTAGACCACTGCTTCTGTTATCTAGCTAATCACCAAGGATGGATGGGTGCCTCTGGCTGAATAAAATACAGAGGGGTGGTGTCCCCCTAACAGGTTTCCAGGTTTAATGTCAACCGAGGTGGCATTAAAGTGAGAAGAGGCCCAGTATTACACAAAGAAGGCGTATTTTGAACTTAAAATCATGCAAAGCTACAAACGGTTTTCACAGACCCTTCAAGTTTCGCCATTCACATGATTTTTCTTCACTTCTGTTCAAATACATCTATAAAATACTTGTAGACTTGTTTTTTTTAGCTGTTAAAAACACCTAGAAAAAGTTCTTCACTAACAGAGCTGATAAGTTTTATTCCCCGCAGCCTGCAGCTGGTGTTGATTTGAAATATCTCACTTTGAACAGATCCTCTCAAAGCTGCAGTGTTCAGGGTTCAGGAGACGCTGGCTCAGACAGGCAACGCTGCGATTGGCTCCCAGGGAGATGCAGGTGGAGAGAGTTCAGCCTCCGACTGCCAAGCAGCTTTTTCCTCTCAGGGGAAACAACCACGTTTCTTCTTGCCTTCCTTCAGCTTTTAGGTGACCCAAAAATCACTGCCCGCCAAAGTGGCCCCTGCAGGGTCCTGAACCGTGAGCCAATCAGTGGCTACGCTCAAAATGCTTGTTTCACTGTAGGTACATTAGTACTAACAGTTTAAATACTCTGGATATAAACACAACTGAAAAAACACCAATTAAATAAGAACATGACTCAAAAACTGCTATTACTTCATTTTAAAAGCTGAATTTGGTGGTTTTTGTTTTGTCTTTTTTATTTAGGCCCATGTCCGTTTTTCATTTTTAATGTTTTAATGGTGCGATTTGTTAGCTTCCACTTTGATAAAGACAATGAAATCTTTAAGGACTTGTTTTTAATAGGCATAATTACAGAACATACGCAGTGAAATATGGATCGAGATGCTAGAATGCATTTTGGGGTTTTCTTTTTTATTTAACACGTTAGAAAAGCCTTAAAGTGACTGAGAGTTGTTTAAACAGTGCAGGAACAATGTTGGAATTTCTCATCAATTTAATATTTATTTATCAATAAACACTACATCCATTATTGTTGTAAGCTAAAAAGGTTGGAGCACACTTGACTTTCTCTTTTTGCTCAGTGTGAGTGTTACACCCCCTGCTGTGCTGATCCACGTTACTACACCCTAAAATGAAGGGTGCAGGATGAAAAGGGCGACAACAATGAAGCATCTTTTTTTATTTTTAAACACTCCATCTTCAAATGCGTTTTCCTAAAGCACATTTACAGGAAATGTGTTTTCCTTTATTTTAATGTCAGACTTTAATTCCCTGCAGGAACCCTGGACAACAACAAACAAATGAGAGACTGCAAAAAGCAGACTGCTGCTGAAAGGAGTCCTGCTGTATGAATACTGATGATGGAGAGAACTCTTATTATTATAACCTCATTAAAACAGCCATTAAAGTGAGAGAGCCTCCTTTTGAGATCCTTTACATCAGTGTGACTCATGAATCCTCCCATCTGAGATGCTGTTGGAAGACACACAATCTGCCTTTAATTTGATAGTTGGTGACTTGTCTGCTCGAGTGAAGACTTTGTTTTCTTTTTAAAGACAGAAGTGCAAATCTGAAACTGTTGCTCTTTTTTTAAACTACACATGTTCTGACTTTACAGCAGCCTGTCCACTGACCCAGGCTAAGTATTTTAGACCTTTCCTGTCTTTACTTTTCTTATTTTCTAAAGAGGTTAGAGGAAGTTGGCAGGGGGGTGGCTGAAGTCTATCCCAGCTACCACTTAAGTTGATCACAAGTTAACTTAACCCCACTAACTACATGTCTCCGGTGGAAGCCATGTGGGAGGAAGCCAAAGTACCTGGACAAAACCCACACAGATCCAAACTCATCACAGAAAGGCGTGACGGTGTCCTCCTGTGTGTGGACCTTGGAAAGTTTTACCGGAAACCTCAACTTTCTTTCCTTGTTTTCTGTCATTTACACGCCGCTCCAATGCTGGAGGTCGTTGAAGACCAAGAGGAGATGTAACCCCGACAAAACCAAAGCAGAGTGTCTGCTTGTTTGGCTGCACCTAGAAAATCTCTACATTAGGGCTGTGTTATATAGTCTGCTATGCAGTTACATTCTAAACGAGTTAATATCGAGATGATATCATGTCAGAGATCTGCAAGCGATGCACGTCAGCTGATGTCGATTTTGTAGCTAAAAGGCGAGTTACTTCCAACAAAGAACAGTTTCCAAATTATGCAAGAAAACAAGCAGTTTCACTGTTGAGTACATCCAGGCTACGAAGGAGAAGATGCTAGCAGCTGGTCATGTGCGACCTAAATGTAAACAAACGACTGGCTATAGATGATAGGAAGAGTAGGGACGGAAACCACTGATGTTGTTACATGGTGGGACTTTCAGCAGCTGGTTAAAAAGATTGACCTAACTTCATCCTAGCTAACAGGCTTTTTTACACTTTTATTTAGTTTCCAGAGAAAACACTACCTACGATACTTCTTAACTTCTATTTGCTGCCTGCCAAGCTGCAAGCATCGATTAAAACACCGTTCAGTTCTTTTATCTATATCATCAGAAACATCGTTATTAACAATTTCTTTGAAATATTCTCCTACAATTTGTTACTGTCCAATTAAAGTTGTGAACTGTTACCAAAGACGAACCCTGGTGACGTCCACCGCACTCTCCAAATGAGTCTGACTTACTGGAAGAAATGCAAACCAAGAGTGGGGCTGAAGAGCCCCAAATAACAGACCCAATACTCTCAGAACATCCCTCAGTTACGACACGGTCCTAATCCGTGTCCAAGTCCTGGTCTGAGGTTCAACTCAACACACTCTGCTCTCCAGCACCCTGGCATACACCAGGGAGGCTGGGCAGTGTGTGGGTCTGGCACAAGCTACTCATTTATTCACATGAAAACTGTTTACAGTGTGTGTGTGTGTGTGTGTGTGTGTGTGTGTGTGTGTGTGTTGAGGAGTACCCAGGTTCCACAGGGTGGTCTGAGCAGCAAGCTCCTTGGCATCATCCAGCAGAGCACACAGCTTGTCAGGGATGTACGTCCTTCGTGTGGATTGTATCACCACCTACATGTACGTACACACACGCACACACACATAGTGTTTGGTTAATGTAGAAACAAACAATCGTTTCACTGAAATGAAGACACACAAAGACTGGGGAGGTAATTAATGGGGTAAGTCACAGTCAAAACTGCATTGCTGGGAAACAAAAGAAAAACAGGCGAGCTGCTGGCTGGTTTATGACTGTTTCTGTAACTTTAACATCTTGTGAAACAGTTTAAATAAAAAAAATTTAAAAAACAGCTTTAAATGGAACTGCTGAATTTTACACACACTACAGAATATAAACGTTATTTTTTTATGTTCATATGCTGATAACACAGGAAGAATCTGGATGTTATAACGGGATAATGTTAGAGATGGTCATGATATGTAAGACTTCACTGAAACAAGAACACGTAATAAGCAAAAATTCACTGAATATCAATTTATTTGTACTTTTAAAGTTATGTTTTTAAATGTTTAAACTGAGTAACATAGAAATATCTCTCATCTATGTACATAATTGTGTTGCATTTCAGCTTTGTGACGTACATAATTTACTGCTGTAGACTTTGCAGCCCGCAGCACAACCCTGTCCCACCAGGCTGTAAAATAATCTGTCCTTGTGCCTGCAGCAGAATCATATGCATGGAATATATAGAAGCTATAAATAATTCAGTACGGTCAAGCTGTGTTTATATTTGTGGTTGCGTCATTAATGTTATGCATGGTTACAGACACACACATATTTCTGTATTACACCTTCTCGCAGCTGTTTATGGAGATTTATGGAGTACATGTTTATGCATTAATGCAGTCTGCAGTGCTCTCTACATGTGGTACAGGTGGTATTTTGTTCATGTTAACAGGTATGTTAACGTTAGCTAATATTAGCCAGAAAAAAATCAGTCACCTATGTAATCAAGCCCATTTGAGCTATGACGGAAAACTAGTGTCAACAACAACAGGAAAACTGATTTATGGAGTGAAACGTTTAGCTTTTAGGGTCAATCCTGAGCTAACCTTAAGCAAGCTAACATTATTCAAAAATCTAGTCTGTGATTTGCCATTTCCTCCAAACTTCCAAGGCTGATCTCGTAATTTAGCTGACCTTTTTCAGATAATGTCACAAATCAGGAGTCACTTGATTCATTGAGCATAGTTAAGTTACAGCTAGGAGTTAGCTGCCTAACCTAGCAAAATGGCATCCAAATGAAAATGCTAGTTGGATAGCATGAGCCACAACAATATTTCATAGATAATAGCAAACAGTATTGATTTTAGCCATAAGTCTATTGTGTAATCGCACAAGTTAAGAAGTATGACTAACACTACTTTTTTTAAAGACAGCTACAATTAGCGTGGATAGAGAGCTAGCTAACACTTAGCTACACAGCACATGAAGAGGTGCTAATGATCCAATACACTGTAAAAATGTCAGTGCAGCAACTCTAAATGTCATTAACTGGATCCTGCACATATATAAGGACAATGGATGTGCATAAATTCAGACACCTCTCAGATATGTTTAACTGCATGCATGTTTATGTGTTAACATCTAGTCAGTCTGAAACCTTGTACAGTAACAGAAGCTTTCCATCCTGCCCTGGTGTGGAGTACAGGTAGTATTCTGGGGGCAACCAGCAGTTTTTGCAGCAGTAAAAGTCGAGCAGGCTGACGGCCGAGGTGATCTGACTCTGCTTGAGCGACAGCAGGCTGGTGCCAGTGAGGGGGGTGCCGGGCAGCAGGGGGTACATGCAGCGCTCCAGGTCATCTGACGGTACAAACACATATACAGGGGAGCAGCATTAAGTTAGACGGGTGCTTCCTTCAGCTCAAGGTACATACGACTTCTTTAAGACCTCACAGAGTATAAGAACAACATCACAATGAATAAGAATTTGCAATTTGTCTCTTTAATTTATATACACCAGTAAAGCCAGTTGTAACTTAAACTGTGAACCCAAAATACTACATTGACCTTTACATAAAACTACCACCAGCAGCAAAAAGTTTTATGTTATATAAACACTCTTGTGGAGCGGACAACACAGCGGAAAAATTGTGCCGTTTATGCTGGACAGCGTAAGTGTTTCACTCACATTTGTGACTTGAAAATCAATTTAACGGAGTATAAACCCATGTAGGAGCATGTGTGCATAAAAGGCCTTAAAAGATTCAGCTTAAATGGATCCTTTTTTCTCAAAAAGCCCACTGAAAACACCACAGCAGAAAAGATGATCCTGCTGATTTCACAGCCTCTCAAAAGCCTCTCAAAGAGGCAGTGAAGTCAGCTGGAGACAAATAAAATGTCTCTGAAGTCTCCACAACGGCAGCCCTGTGTACCCTTTAGTGCTAAAAAGACGAGTGATACCGACATGCAGGGGTGTGTCTAAAGGTGGGCATAGGTGTACCATAGTAATTTATTTGTGGAATAGTCACGAGGACAATTTGAAAAGATTTACAAATATATATCAGTTTTAAAAATTAGATTAAAAAACCTTTAGTTTATAAAGCACCACATGAATGAAATGGGGTAATACAGCCCGTCTCTTCTCTTCCACTTATCCACTTCAGGTTCTGATTGTCAAAATTTATTTTAAATATTTAATACCCTGTCTCGTCCATATATCAAAACCATAGGGGATACAATGGTTGTACTGCACATTAAATATGGATAACTCGATATGATGACATTTAAAATACTGGAGGCAGCCCGTGCACTTATGGCATGAATTTGAAAATCCTAGTAGATTTCCAGTCTCAGTGAGCTTGAAGTCAAAGTCAAGGTCATTGAGACTCGAACTTGTCTGTGATTTTCAGAATCCTGCGTCACTTGGTCTCAAGTTATGGTGTTCACTCCCCCACCTTTGCTTCTTTTTCGGTTTTTGAGCAGGAAATGTTTTTGTGAATGTGAATAAGATGAATTTCATAAATGTAATGTTTACTGGTTTGTTTTTCGTGCGTAACATTTGTTACTTATATATATACACGACAAAGTGTTTGTTATGGGCGGGTCAACTCTGAACCACTGGCAGTGAGGTCAAGTGAGGAAACGTACTTATGGTGAATTTCTTCTTTGTTTAGGATTTACTCACTGGGATATAGAATAGTTGGGAACCCATGGCAACCATCAGAAAAGGCCTATTTTAGGTAGGAGTCACCACTGGAGAGCATTCTTGGTGAACAAAGGGTGGTGTGATGGCGCTGGATGAGCATCATTCCTGCCCCTCAGTTCTTCTCGCGGTTCACTGAGTTTAATACTTTTGACTGCAGCACAGTAACAACCAGGCTCATCTCATCACTAAAGCAGCGATCATAAAGTGTGACTGACTCAGCTCTGATCCATCTTCCCCAACTTTTCACTCAATTACTCCCTCACTGACTCTCAGTTTATCGGGCGACAAATCAAAACCCAGAAATAACTTTAATTGGTTTCTATCAGCAGGTTTTTTTTTCAATTATGCAACGTTTGAAACTGGTCTGAGAGGGAAATGTGGCAATAAATGAAAAGAGGTTGCTCAGCAGTCCTTTGGGTTTTCATCTGCACGTCTGTGTCGGTGCACCTCATCTTGCAGCCTCACTTAAAGAGGCTCCAACAAACTGAGCTCATGTACATCGTATTGTTTTGGTTTAATTTATGGAACTAATTATTTTCAAGTTGTTGCGTAATCCCCCTGTTAAGTGCCAAGGCTTTAATCTTTTTAATGTGCAGCAGTGCTTTGATGAGTCCCCAGAAATCATCTGACCATCCTTCTCGCCCTCTGAAGTTTTCCATTAGCTCTGTTTGTGTGCAGCACGTCTTAAAGGTTTTAAAAACACTGAACACAGTTAGCATTTCAGAAAAGAATCACTCTCGGGTCACACTCAGGTTTGAGTGTGAACATTAAACTTGTATCGAGACTTTTCCATAGCGAGTAATTCAAACTACGCAGCTAGGACTGGGCGATATATGGAGTTTTTAAAACATATCAATATATATTTTTATATGAGATGTGACAATATCGTTTATATCGATATAGCATCTCTCTTTCGTCCACTTTTGTCTCTACGCTGCGTTACTCTGCCTCACCTCGCACCTTCACTGAACAACTCCTCCTCCCCCATCGCTTCACCTGCAGGTAACGACAAGATGGACATGGAGCTATCAAAGAGGAGCTGAAAACATTTGGAGATGACTATTTTAGTGCTGTCAGCGTTAATCTCGTTAAAATGACGTTAACGCCTTAACTTCTTAACTTATGGCTTTAACAAAAATATCGAGATATATATCTTATATCGCCATCCAGCTGAAGAATATCGAGATATGAGTTTTGGGTCATATCGCCCAGCAGCAACATATTCATGATCAACCTCGTGTTGTGGACGTTCTCTTGGTTGACTCAATGAATGTATTCTGAATACTTTGGATTACTTAATATATTATCATGCTTTTTACAACTACATGAATGTACTATTGCTGTGTGACTTATTACTATTACTGAAGGTTACTCTCCATACCAATACCAACTAGATTTTTAAATCTTATTATAAATGAGTAACAGTAGGTTGACATTAGGTAAGGCTGCAGTGGTTATTATTATATTTACATGCTTCCAGCTCCCGTTTCTGCTCAGTGACAGCTCGTACTTTTCCACTCTCCTTTTTCTCCCTCCCTCGCTCACAGACACATAACGGGTATGGCAGTCCATTCTCCCTGCAGCACGGACTACACTGCCCATGATGCTACATTCTTTAGGGCTATGCCTGTAGCAGTCTGCTATTGCCTTCATATTAAATTATTAATTAAATAATCATTTAAAAAAAATATTACTTCACGTCATTATGTGGGCTGCAAGTAGAGGTGACATTGGCCGTGAGATTGAGACACAGACATTAGAGCCCCTTAATGTGTGTTTTGTTTGCGTTTCCACCAGCGTGGAATTACCAAAAATAGAGAGGGCACAGCCTAACATATAAAACAGGAAAATACCGCCGTGTAATCCATTTATTTCAACAAAGTCACTGTATTCTGAGTATCACCCTTTTAAACTGTAATGGAATACAGTTACTCATATTTTGTCTTTTAAATACATAATGCCCGTACATGTATTCTGTTACTCCCCAACATTGACCATAGCTCTGTAGCTAGCCACCTAGTAGCACTTCATTATACTGCATGTTAACTAGCCCAACTGATAAAAGTTGTAGTAGCGCTCTACTGTGTACTTGCCTGTTTTTTAATAGAAATCCTTCAATCATAATATATTATATTATCTTTAGATGGAAACTAACTAGCTGACTTACATTTCATAGATATCTGTTAGTGCCCGTTTCATGGCGCTAACAGAATTTGGATTGTTTTTAACTCTTAGCAGCGCCTCAGCATTTGTTTTAGGCAATTTAAGGGGCATTTAGCCTTGAAATAAAAGATGGCTTAAGTGGATAACACTAAGACATTTCTAAATTTACCAGCTGCCATGAGTCATGGAGTTTTATTCATTCAGATTTATTCAGCACACCTGCTTTATGCAAAAATCACCAGTTTGAAGCCAGACAGAATGGCCTAGCAGAAGCAATCAGATGAGGATCATTGTGCAGCCTCTTAATGAACCATACAATGCCAGGTCTCCATGACACCGGACACTCATACATGTTTACAACTCTCTACTCGACACAACAAACGGCGAGAGTCACTATATTGTGGCACTTTCAGCACTTAATTGTCGCCTTAGAAAGGCTGAGGAGTAACAAGAAAACATAAAATGATAAAATTAAAAACAAGTTAATTAAAAAAAAGTAGAAGATAAATGATGCATAAATGATCACAAACAATAATAAAGGCTGAGGACAATAAAAAGGATGTTTAAAAAAAAAATCACATAGGTCTATAAAAACACCAATGTGATTTTTTTTTTT